TCTTCATCAACAGTTGCCAGTCTTCATCAACAGTTCCCAATCTTCATCAACAGTCCCCAATCTTCATCGACAGTTGTCAGTGTTCATCAACAGTTCCCAATCTTCATCGACAGTTTCAAATCTTCTTCGACAGTTGCCAGTCTTCATCAACAGTTGCCAGTCTTCATCAACAGTTCCCAATCTTCATCGACTGTCCCCTATCTTCATCGACAGTTGTCAGTGTTCATCAACAGTTCCCAATCTTCATCGACAGTTGCCAGTCTTCATCAACAGTTCCTAATCTTCATCGACAGTCCCCAATCTTTATCGACAGTTGTCAGTGTTCATCAACAGTTCCCAATCTTCAATCTTCATCGCCAGTTCCAAATCTACATTGGCATTTCCGGTCTTCTTCATCTTCTTCACAGTCTTCAATCTTCATTGAAAGTTCGTTCCAATTGATATTATTGGCTATGTGAAGACCTATTTAACAACCACTCAAACGACTAAAAATTTTTAATTAATTTATTTTGTTAATTTAGTTAAATATTCAATGTAGGAAACAGCTGAGCTCATTACGTTTAACAGTGTTGTGCAATGTGCCCTTGGGATTATTTTTGCCAATATTGAAACATGTATAGGCCTACTTTGATATATGTAGCCACAATTATCCAGATACGAAATCTTGTATTATCATACTACCAGAGCTTGCTCGCCTGGATTACAGAGTCTACTAGTTTACCTATACTACATTACAAGTAAACCATTACACTGGTAATCAGAGTCTATCAATAGTCATTAACGATCTATTTTTAGACTGGATTGTAATGGCTATTTATATTTATCCGATTTCACCACAGTTTGCAAATATATTATTCAATATAAAGATTACTTGATTCACGAATCATTATATTCTTCGAAACCAGTTACCGGTGACACTGGGTGTGAAAATCTAACATGGTACTAAAATTTGGTAAAGGCGGCATCAGTACGGGCAGTACCCTACGCTTGACCAACACCGCACATATAAGAAGAAACGGTTCAACGTCGTGCATTTACATGCATGAGATAGAAGACAAAACAGTGGACGTCAAAGTGGCTAAATTTTTGGAATCAGCATCTGTTTTTTACTCGTTAAACAAGAAAGGACGATGGAAACTGCCAGAAATTATCGAAGAGAAGATCCAGTCCGAGCTGCCGAGTGCCGACGTGAAAGTGACATTGATGAAACTCCACAAACTTCACAGAAAGAACAACTGTATAGGATATTTTACTAACAAGGGAAGTGTTAAATCGGTAGTTCCTAAGAAAACGAAATACGTCAACCGCCTAAGTGTCGTTAATGTTAACCGAAAACCCTTTCGGAACAGGCGCAGAAGACGAAATAGAGAAGTTGAGCCAGATCGTAACATTGCAGACGACAATGAAATAAAGTACCATATCGTGTATCCGACACCGTCATCGAGTGCAGTAACGCACACCAATCCACAAAAGATTGGTCACGATGTGATGCTGAACACGCACAACCTCGGCAAGACTGCTGTCAGATCGAAATGTAGAAAATGGCGCTGCATTGAACGTGATGTGAGATGTGATATGGACTATACTGATTATGATGCTGTTGATGAGGATTCGGGGTTCGATACGATAGAAGAAGTGCATCAATCTCAAAAACGCTCCTCGTTTTCCGAATATTTTGAAAGTGCCCTCGGTCGACCATCCGACATCAGGATCAAAACAAGAAGAAGGCCAGTTAAAAAGTTGCGGAAGCTTAGAAATAAACCAATGCTGCACTATTTAGAGACCCAGGTCATGGAAGTGGAAGAAGAAAATTCGGAGTTCGTCTACTCAAGGCCGCCAACTACGGAGTGTCAGCCAGTAGATGTTCTTATTTCAAACCAGGAATCGAATCCAGATCATCTGAAGACGAAATATGGTGACAAGGTCACGTTTGCTCAATGTGAACCTCGAACTTTTATCATTGATATTACAAACGAAGTAGGTAGTTGTTTGAAAAGCTCAAAAGCATTTAAGAAAGTCATCTTCAAAAAGTTAGA